GAGGAGGAGGAGGAGGAGGAGTAGGAGGGGGAGAGGAGAGGAGAAGGAGCAGAGGAGGAGGAGTAGGAGGTGAGGAAAAGGAGAGGAGGATTGTAAGAGAAAGGAGGAAGATGACGACGAGGAAGAGAAAGGAGGAATGGCAGGAGGTGGGAGGAGGAAGAGGAGGAGGAGGAGGAGGAGGAGCAGGAGCAGGAGGAGGAGCAGGAGGAGGAGGAGCACGAGGAGGAGGTGGATGAGGAGGAGGAGGAGGAGGGGGAGGAGGAGGAGGAGGAGGAGGAGGAGGAGGAATGGGGGCCGAGCGCCAAGGATCGCCCTCATGTACGGCATTCAGCACAGCCTTGTCGCGGTCCCGTTCGTCGACGGCGCGAACGTCCTGTACGCGCCGATCATCGCCACATTCATTCTGGGGCACCTCCTCCCCCTCTGGAGGTCTGTGGGGGTCTCTGGGGGCCTCCGCAGGTCCCCCCAGAGACTCCTGGCGACCCCCCAAAAGGGCCAGGAGGTCCAGGAGCCACGGCCCTCCCTCCTCCTGATAGTTCGCGCAAGTCCTGGCATCGCCCGGACGTGTGCATTTTTTTTTGTCGGCGAGGACCATTGAGGACGATCCTGGACCATCGAGCACAAAAAACACACGAACCCGAGACACGCACGGGAAATGGACGTCCGAGCGATGGCGAGAAGTGGACATGCACATCTGTCTTTTGGGAGCCTGAACTCATAGAGAAAGCTGCAAAGTGACGCCCTCACGGTCCACGGCGGCGTTGGACCGACAAGGTGTGCATGTGAGTGGCTACGGCTTCAACGCCGTCAAGCTCAGGATGCGCTCCCTGCATGCGCGTGGAGCGGTTTCGGCGCCTGTCCTGTCTTGTCCCCCCCAGGTACGCGGTCATCGTCCTGGAGGAGCAGACGGAGATCAACAAGGCGTGGCGGGCGGGGAGAGTGTGCCGTGGGCGCGGGGACCCGGCTGTGCACTGCCCTCCGCCAGCGGCCGTGCGAGCAATGATAGATTGGGGATGGGGGAAGGGGAGAGAGAGAGAGAGAGAGAGAGAGAGGAGACGAGGATGAGGAGGACCAGGAGTAAGAGGAAGCGGAGGAGGAGGAGGAGGAGGAAGATGAGGAGGAGGAGGAGGATGAGGAGGAGGAGGAGGACGAGGAGGACGATGCTGATGATGAGGAGGAGGAGGAGGAGGGGGAGGAGGAGGACCACTCCACAAACGAGGATGCTGATGATGTCGAGGAGGAGGGGGATAAAGATGCGGATGCGGAAGGGGAGAAGGAGGTGGATGATGAAATGAGTAACGTTGATGTCGACACCGATGGCGATAATCACGATGACGACGAGTATGGGCACGATGATGGCGACGATACCGATGACGATGAGGACGTGTCGATGGGGACGACGATGCGACGGCGAGGCTGACGATGCCAACTACGGTGGTGATGCTCGTGGAATGATTTTATTGTTGTTGTTTACGGGCGCAGCCTATAATTTGATTTTCGGGAAGTAGACATAACTGACTGACAGAATTGAACTGAATCACCAACGCCGTTAGATGGCAGTTTAATCTCCGGGGGTGGGGATATTTTGCTGGCAGTTTTAAGCTAGGGGGTGTGAGGATGATTCGCTGGCAGTTTTAGGCCAGGGGTATGAGGATATTTCGCTGGACATCTTAAGCGAGGGGTGTGAGGATATCTCGCTGGCAGTTTTAAGTCAGATGGTGGAGGATATGTCGCTGGCAGTTTTAGGCCAGGGGGTTGAGGGCATGTCGCTGGCAGTTTTAGGCCAGGGGGTGAAGATATTTCGCTGGCAGTTTTACGTCAGGGGGTGTGAGGATATTTCGCTGGTAGTTTTAAGTCAGAGGGTTGAGGATATGTCGCTGGCAGTTTTAGGCCAGGGGGTGAGGACATTTTGCTGGCAATTTTAGGCCAGGGGTGTGAGGATACTTCGCTGTCAGTTTCAAGCGAGTGGTGTGAGGATATTTCGCTGGCAGTTTTAAGCAAGGGGTGTGAGGATATTTCGCTGGCAGTTTTAAGCAAGGGGTGTGAGGATATTTCGCTGGCAGTTTTAAGCTATTGGGTTGAGGATGTTTCGCTGGCAGTTTTAGGCCAGGGGTGTGAGGATATTTCGCTGGAAATCTTAAGCGAGGGGTGTGAGGATATTTCGCTGGCAGTTTTAAGTCAGGGGGTGGAGGATCTGTCGCTGGCATTTTTAGGCCAGGGGGTTGAGGGCATGTCGCTGGCAGTTTTAGGCCAGGGTGTGAGGACATTTTGCTGGCAATTTTAAGCGAGGGGTGTGAGGATATTTCGCTGGCAGTTTTAAGTCAGGGGGTTGAGGATATGTCGCTGGCAGTTTTAGGCCAGGGGGTGAGGACATTTTGCTGGCAATTTTAGGCCAGGGGTGTGAGGACATTTCGCTGCCAGTTTCAAGCGAGGGGTGTGAGGATATTTCGCTGGCAGTTTCCAGGGCGGTGAGGATATTTTGCAGACGTAACCAAGCAGCACCGTGTGCCACGTACGGGCGGTCAGGAGTCATCGGCGGATTCGTTCGGGGCGCATCATGCAGCCACATGATGATGATGATGATGATGATGATGATGATGATGATGATTATGATGATGATGATGATGATGATGATGATGATGATGGTGATGATGATGATGATGATGACGATGATGATGATGACGATGATGATGATGATGATGATGATGATGATGCTGATGCTGATGGTGATGGTGATGGTGAAGGTGATGGTGATGATGATGATGATGCTGATGATGATGATGACGATGATGATGATGATGATGCTGATGGTGATGATGATGGTGATGGTGATGGTGATGGTGATGGTGATGGATGATGATGATGATGATGATGATGATGATGATGATGATGATGATGATGATGATGATGATGCTGATGACGATGATGATGATGATGATGATGATGATGATGATGATGATGATGATGATGATGATGATGATGATGATGATGATGATGACGATGATGATTATGGTGGCGAGTCATAAGATGCATATGTATGCGAGGGCCATCCTGATATTGGCGATGGTGAAGGGAGTGATGTTGATGATGAGGATGAGGAAGAAGATAAGGATGAGGAGGAAGGGGCTGAGAGAACGACGACAAGGATGAGCAGGCAGGGAAGAGGAAGCCCTCCTCCCTCCTGCTCCTTCTCCTTCCTTCCTTCCTGCGCCTCCTCTCCTCGAGGCGGCCTCCGCCCTGGTTTTGGGCGTGATGGTCTGGGTGCTGGTGGGCACTGGCCTGGACCTGACGCCGAAGCAGTTCGACACCGACATCAAGGACTCGGGGAGACGCCATGCGAACCCAACGGAGACCTCTTCGTCCTTCTCCTCCTGCTCCTTGTCTTCCCTCCCCCTCCTCTTCCTCCTTCACCTCCATCGACCGTTTGGCCCAACTGGGCTGAGCGCTCACCCGGCAGCAAGGGCTTGACCCTTCCTTCGTGGACAGCCGATCGGGTCCGATCCTTGACCTCCTCCTCCTCCTCCTCACCCTCCCCTCCTCCTCCTCCTCCTCCTCCTCCTCCTCCTCCTCCTTTTCCTCCTCCTCCTCCTCCTCCTCCTCCTCCTCCTCCTCCTCCTCCTCCTCCTCCTCCCCCTCCCCCTGTCCTCCAGCCCCCCCGGGGAAGAGGACCCGCGACGGTTTTCGGTGGCCCTCGGCGTTGGCGTGGTGTTCGGCGGGCTCTTCGGGCTGTCGGAACGCCTTCGGGATGCCTTCGGGATGCCTCTAGATGCTTTCGGGTGGCTTTCCGGGGCTCAGGGCGAAGATGGCACCCCCACGCAATAAAACGGGGGATGGCCCAGCGCAGTAATAGGAGGCGTTTGTCGGTGCTGCTGCTCTTCCCTCCCCCTCCTTCCCTCCCTCCCTCCTCCTCCCTCCTCCTCCCTTCTCCTCCCTCCCTCCCGTCTCATGCGCGGTGCAGGGTTTTGAGGAGTGTGCGTGTGGGAGCCGCAGGAGGAGGAGGAGGAGGAGGAGGAGGAGGAGGAGGAGGAGGAGGAGGAGGACGAGGAGGAGGAGGAGGAGGAGCAGGAGGAGGAGGAGGAGGAGGAGGCGGAGGAGAAGGAGCAGCAGGAGGAGGAGGAGGAGGAGGACCAGTGTAAACCAAGGAGTCGTCAACGATTTTGGAATTAACCCTCTCTCCAAGCCACCTCCTCATAAACCCCTTCAACGCTTCGTTTCCATTGAGGGAACTGCCTCGTTGGAAGACTCTAGAAGACCCTGAAGCATGCGAAACATTGTTCTCGGGATGTCAACGCCACGGATCATTATGACTGCTGCGTCTTGACGATCCAGAATCGTGCCAGAACTCGTTTTTTTTTTTTTTTTATTTCAACACCGCGATCCAACATAATTGTTGCACCCGCATAATCCTAAATCCTTGCAAAACACAATTCCTGGAACGTTGATCATGGGAATCCGTGAAGCGCTGGCAGATGTTTAAGACCAGTATGCGCGGCGCCAAGGCGAGAGCCACAGTTTGAAAATGAACCGCCCTCAATCCGCGAAGCTTTTGCAAATTTTGTGAACGAATGTGCGCGGCGCTTAGGCGAGGGCCACATTTTGAAAACCACTCGCCCTCGATCCGTGAAGCTCTTGCACATTTTTCTAAACGAATGTGCGCGGCGCTGTAGCGAGAGCCACATTCCGAAAACGACCCGCCCTCAATCCGTGAAGCCCTTGAAATATTTTGAAACGAATGTGCGCGGCGCTAAGGCGAGAGCCGCAACTTTGAAAACCACCCGCCCTCGATCCGTGAAACTCTTGCAGTTTTTCAACACGAATGTGCGCGGCGCTGCGGCGAGAGCCACATTTTGAAAACGACCCGCCCTCAACCTTACAATGTTTTAATACGAATGCGCGCGGCTCTAAGACGAGAGCCACATTTTGAAAAGGAACCGCCCCCAATTCGTGAAGCTCTTGCAAATTTGTAAAACGAGTGTGTGCGGCGCTGTGGCGAGAGCCACATTTTGGAAACGACCCTCCCTCAATCTGGGAAACTCTTGCAAACTTTTGAAACGAATGTGCGCGGCGCTCAGGCGAGAGCCACATTCCGAAAACGACCCGCCCTCCATCTGTGAAGCTGTTGCCAATGTGTAAGCTTCAGGGTCATAAATGGTGAGGAAGTCTCAGGCGAAGCGCCCGGTCCGCCCTTCGACCGGCCTCGGGGTGCGACAGGGAGGAGTTATTCATAAGGGAAGGGAATGGAAGATGAGGAGGAGGAGGAGGAGGGCGAGGAGGAGGAGGATGAGGATGCGGGGAGCAGGGAGGAGGGGATTGAGAATAGTATTTCGTGTCCGTGTGTGGCGTTGATCGGCGGCAGCGCCAGGTGCATTTCAGCCACGGGGGACGTTGGAAGCAGGATTGCAAATGCCTCACGCTGGCCGTCTGTAAGGAATGGCCGCTGCCCGAATTACCTGAACAAGGCGCCAGGGCTCCTCTACACCCGCCTCGCGGAGGCTACGGCGCACGGGCACCAGTCTTTGGGCAACCTGCCGGGCATAGTCATGCACCCGGGCCACTGGATGCGGAGCCACGACGCTTTCTGTAGCAGCGCGGCGGTGGACTGCGAAGTGCCAGCTGGCCTTCTGAATGAAGCCTCGCGTTACATGGGCGGATCTGGCGGAGTGGAGCCCAGTGACTTCAATGCGCAGGCAGACTTTTTTAGCGAACTGCGTTATGACTGCGATGAGTTCGTGGATCAACTGCGACATATCTCGATTACGGGAAGTTGTCCACAGATGTCACAATATCCGTTTGTATAGCGATGGCGGGTCAGGTTTTTAGGGCGGAGTGGCCATTTGTATTTAGATATGCTGCGCTGTGGAATAGACAGGCGCACGCATGATTCACCATGTGGTAGAGCATGCCACTTTCACGGTTGAAGGGGTCATGTCGTCCTTGGTTTCTGAGACCTGAGCTCTCGATTCCGTTCTGACGGCATTGGCCAGCGCATTGCAGCAGCATTGCTCCCGGGCAGTTCACATCTCATATGCACGTCATGGAGCCAAGCCTTACTGAATAATAAGAGGAGAGACGGGGGATCATGAGAGAGGAAAGGAGAGAGAAGGAGGAGGAGGAGGTTGAGCATGAGGAGGAGGACCAATGTCAATCTAAGACTCATCAGCGATGATGATTTGTGTAAAACCTCCCTCCAAACTTCCTCCTCATAGGCCCCCATACAAGCATTCATTTTCAATGAAGGACGTGGCCCGTTTGAGAACAACCGTTTGAACATCTTGAGCTGTGACAGAGCATCATTCCTGGGATTTCAACGCCGCGAATCACCATTCCTGTTGCGTCTTGACGATCATGAATTGTGCCAGGACACCATTTCTGGGACTTTCGCACCACGGATCAACATTACTGTTGTGCCCGGACAATTCGACATAGTGTCACAACACCATTGCTGTGATGTTAACAACGAGAGTACTTGAAACGATGTAAACTCTTAAGACGAATATGCGCGGGGCTGCGGCGAGAACCACATGTTTAAAAGGAACAGCCCTGCATCTGTGACATTCTGTTTTTTTTTCAGACGACTGTGCGCGGCGCTCAGGCGAGAGTCACATTTTGAAAAGGAACCGCCCTCCATCTGTGCGCGGCGCGAAGGTGAGAGCCACATTTTGAAAGCGACCCGCCCTCCATTCGTGAAGCTCTTACGCACTTTTGAGTTGTTGATGAGGAGAAGGAATGGAGGAGGAGAAAGAGGGCGAGGAGGCGGAGGATGAGAAGGATGATGGTGATGACGACGATGATGAGGAGGAGGGGGAGGAGGCGGACGAGGAGTCAAGCCAAGATGCGTGAGCGATGTTGAAGCACACCGTCCCTCCCGAAATCCCATCCTCACACGTCCCTGCAAGCCTGCCTGTTGACTACAAGAGTCTTTCCCTCGAAGCACCAGCGGCCCATGGGCCTGCCGTGCCGGCGAGGGCACCGATTTGAAAATGCAGTGCCTTGCCTCCCCCTAGCTCGTCATCAGAAATGTGAGATCTACGGTAGAAGGAAATAGAGTGGACACTCCCCCGCTCCCCCAAACTCAAAGTTGGCGTGCGCGGGGAAGACTCCGGTCGAAGCGACGCGCAGCTCATTCAACCCACCGCCAGCATTGATCAGTTGGGGGGGCATTGAAGGATGAATGCGGCATGCGTGTTCGCTAGTTTTTTCCGAGGCCTGTATGATTGTACAGTCTAACGAGGTGCCTAGCGACGTCCTGTTTTGGAGAATTTGGCTGACACAGGTGCCGAAGTCTCGGGCTTTCAATTTCATGTAGTATTCAACCGACTATCTCATTTGAACAACGACCCTCCTCCATCCTTGAAGTGATTGCAGACTTTTAAGACGAATGTGCGCGTCGCTAAAGAGCGAGAGTCCCATTTTGAACCTCTCTCTCCGTCTGTGAAAATATTGAATCATTTGCAGACCGATGTCCGCTGCGCTAAGGCGATAAGCCCATTTTAAAAGCCATCTCCTGCATCGATGTAACTCGTGCAAACTTTTACAAATCATGTTCGCGGTGCAAATGCGAACACCCCTTTTTGGAAAGGAAGCGCCATGTGTCGTGGAAGCTGTTGCATCTTTTTTAACATAGGTGCTTTGCGCTAAAGTGAGATACCCACTGTGAAAAGGACTACTCTCTATGTTTGAAGTTGTTGCAAGAGTTCCCAACCATCCTGTGGTGTTGGGTCCTCGTTTTGAGGAGACGGTCCCCGCGTTCCTTCCTTCCTTCCTTCCTTCCTTCTTTCATTCCTTCCTTCCTTCTCCCCCTCCTCCCTCCTCCCATCCCTGCCTCTGCCCTGCGCATGTCCTCGTCGTCGTCGTCATCGTCGTCGTCATCATCATCATCAGCGTCATCATCATCATCATCATCATCATCATCATCATCATCATCATCATCATCATCATCATCATCATCATCATCATCATCATCATCATCATCATCATCATCATCATCATCATCATCATCATCGTCATCGCCATGTCATCGTCATCGTCGTCATCATCATCATCATCATCATCATCATCATCATCATCATCATCATCATTATCATCATCGACGTCATGATCACCACCGTTATTATCACCATCATCGCCACCAGTTTCGCCACACCCCTTGCATGTTTCGTGGCCCCACAGGGAACCCCATCGTAGGCCCCAATGGCGGTGTTCGCATGCGTCTCCCCCGCCCAGGACAGCGTTTCGTGACCCCACAGGGAGCTCCACCTAAGGTCCCACCCTAAGGCCCTTGTGGCGGTGTTCGCATGCGGACAGCGTTTCGTGGCCCC